AGAAGTATGGGCAATCTCCTCCCATGTGATTACCTGTCTCTGAAAACTCACTGGAGGGTAAGCTATGGGTCGGTTCTGACTCAGAGGTACACAACAATATATATTATATGGCACAGGATAGGTTCCAGTCATGGGCTCTCTATGAGTCATAACCAACTTGATGGTCCCTAACAAATCCTAATAGGAAAACCAGAAAACTGATTTTGGTCCCATGTAGTTTGTTCTATGTTGTTTTCCCACATCTTTTCATTTATGTAATCACAGCTCTTCAGGAACCTTGTGCCCCTGTTGGATCTTCTTGGTGCGAAAAGTCTGTCTCAGGCTCCTTCTAGGTATAAGACACCCCCTGCGAGTCCAGCATTCATTTCCTTCATCTCTCTGTGGTTACTCTTGATCTTGAGTAATGAAGACAGTTCTCTGTCCAATGGCCAAATCTGTTACTGTTAAGTCCCCACTTCTGGACTTCTCACACTCATACTTTATACTTTCTAATTCTTAATAGTTTCACACTATTCTTCATTCACATTGCGTTTCATACAATCATTCTTAAGCATTGTTTTATAAATGGATCACCGTTGGACCTTGCCTATCATTACCCTGTCTTTTTGCCTGAATCCTTCCCATTTACTCTTAAATGCTCTTAGCCACATAAAATTTCCTTCACTATCTTTATTACAAAAGTCATAATAGAGGTTTTGATTATATCTTAGCACAAAAGTTGCATGAGGTCCTCTAGCCTCTGGGTCTTTTTTCCCTTTTCAGGAGGTACTGCAACTGCTTCCCTCTTCAGATCCACCCTACCTGGAAATTGTTTTAGTAGTCACTAACTGGCTTAGGCTAGTCATGGAGTGAACAAGATGCTGGTGTTGTCCTAGCTTGAGGGTTTGGTTCAGAATTGGGCACATCCGCATGACCCAATTTAGAGAAATGATCAGTTAGAGTGATCATCTTTTCATGTACTCACTGCTTATTTGTATATCCTCTCTGGGAATTCTCTATTCAGATTTGTAAAAGATTAATTTGGAGGGTGTAGCATCTCCTCTAATTCAGAGGTAGAGGAGAATCAAGATCCACATTAACTCAAGGCTGGTCTCTATGGAGATCACGCATAAGTCATCTCCAACCCTTTTACTAATTCTGATAGTAAGCTATCCCATCTATGGCACTGTTTCTCTACTGGGCTGGGCAGTTCATTGCACTGACCACACAGAACTCACAGACATGCAATTATGAGATTGATTCAGGATAAGGATGGATCAGAAAGCCTGTAGGCAATTCTCCCTCAGTCAGGGTGAGATAGTTCTCTCAGCTTGTCTTGGCTGTACAGGGCTTTTCTGGGGCCCTTAAGGACATGTTTCTTTGGCCTACATTCTGCTCGGGTCAAGCAAGTGTTAGGAAGATCTGTTAGCCCTACCAGTGTTTGGAGGCCCTGTGTTATCCAGGAAGTTTCCTTCCCAAGATCATTCTTTTCCCCTGCTCCAGGTTGAGTTTAGCTCTTCCTATACTAGGAGGAATCCTCCTGACCTTTTCTTCTCCACTGGTTGACATACCCACTCACCTGGCTCTATAAGTTAGGAAGCCCATCACAGCACCATGTGTTCGTTCCCTGGTTCTGCCATTTGTCTTCCACCCTTTTCAGTGTTAGAGTCCTGTGTCTAGGAAGTTCCCAGTGAAGGGCCTAAAAAGAACATTCTAGACTTTTCTTGATGGTAATAAGGGCCCTTTTTCTGCTGTAGGACTGGTTCTTAATAAGTCTTGCAGGATGGCAAACAGACCAATCCCCTCACTATTTGCATGGTCTTATCCCCACAAGCATTCTATGCACATCATTAATTGAACTATTATTACTAAATTCTAAAAGGGTGACCTAGTTCTGCTTAAACATAAATACCATGAATGAGTGGGTCTAGCAGATTTTCTCAGTAAACATCAGGAAGTCCTAATTCAGAGTGCCAGTTTTGTCAGCTGACACAAAGGGAAGGCTGTCAGCTCTAAATGAAGGTCCCTGTCTGCAGTCAGTTTTGACCCACAGTTATCCTGTAGGATAAAGAGAACTGCCCCTAGTTGTCCTCTATAGAAGGCTACTGCACATCTTTCTGGACCAATAAACACAATGGCATGTTGGTAGCTTACTGATAAGGAGTTATGACACTAACTTGAAGGTGAGCAGTTCGAATCCATCAGTCTCCTCCATGCAATTCACTACCTCTGAAAACCTACTGGAGGGTCAGCTATTGGTCCATTTCAACAACACAGTAAATGGAAGACATAAGTTGTCAAAGACTGCATTTTTACTTAGATTCATAACCAATGCCCATTGAAGCAATAGCAGAGGGAGAAATCAAACAGCACACTGCACTGGGCAAACGGCAAGATTTAAAGAGCAAGGATGTCACTGTCATGGCATGTGGCCATCTTTTGTCATCATATTTCCACTCACCTCTGTGTATGGGAGTTCTGGTGGCCTATCCCATAGGGAGTTGTGCTGCTAACTCAAAAGCTGTACTTTTTCTGGTGGTCTGAATCTACAAGAGGCACGTGGGGAGAAAAGATGGACACTTTCCCCTCCAGTTAACAGCCTCAGAAACCCAGTGGAAACTCAGCTAAGAGTTCGTTCCAGCAATTAAAAATGAGGTGTGTTTTTTCTTTTTAGTTTCACATGCATGTGGACAATGAATGAGGAAGATCAAAGAATTGATGTTGCTGAATTCAACCGCTGGTTAAGAATACTGAATATGCCATCAACTGCCAACATGAATGAACAACTATGTCTTGGATGAGGCACAGCCAGAGTGAGCTTTAGAAACAAGGATGATGAGATTTTTCACATACTTTGGGCTTTTCAACATTTCATTTCAATAAAAATAACACAACTTTACAAAAATAAATTTTATTAAAAGCAGTAGAGTTTGAGCAGGAAGACAGTACAAATAATGTAAACATCACTACAATCGGCTCAGCCTGATTGAATGCTGAAAAACAATTCTAAATGTTTTATGTGCCCCTACTAGCAAGATACATTAAAAGATTCTATTGTATACAGACAACTCTAATTTTGATTGGGAAAAGTTTAAATTTATCGAAGTCGATCCCAGCGCCAAATACTGGCATCATCGCAGACAGCTATAAGAATACTGCTGTCCCTGCTGAAACTGGTTTGTCGAATAGCAGCAATACATTTCTGATGAGTCAATGTTGTGCACCTAGGAAAAAAAGGATATACAAATATCTCATATTATCTACCTTAAAACACTGAAAGAAAATGAACCAATATTTTAAGTGAAAATAGGAAAGAATTAACACCAAAATATATTTCAATGCAACTCAATCAAATTTCATAAAACTTAGGTACACTTGAAGATCAAGAGG